GTGATTTACCACCTGGATGAAGAAGAGACTCCCTACCTGGTGAAGATCCCGGTCCCCGCTGAGCGCATCACCCTCGGCGATTTCAAGAGCGTCTTGCAGCGGCCCGCGGGCGCTAAGTACTTTTTCAAGTCTATGGATCAGGATTTCGGGTGAGCGCGAGGCCTAGATTAGGAACGATGGGGGCCGTGCTGTTGTGAATTGGGCAATATTGAGGGGTACCGGTCTACTCTGGGACTTACTGGGATTTTCTGGGCTACAGTGGAGCAGATTTTACTATACTGGGGTAGATTGGATATCCCAGGACGGGCAAGGTTATGCTTGGACAGATTGAGGCGCGCTGTACTGAAGGAGGACAGTCTAGGCTATACTAAACCAGATTAGGTAAGATTAGGCTCTACTGGAATGGAGTGGGGCACACTTGTTTATTTTCGGATATTCTGGACTGTGCTGAGGCAGACTGATCTATCTTCTGGTAGTTTAGTACATTGTGAGCGGTCCTGTATTACACGGGTTATGCAGAGATAGTGTGGAATTTGCTGATATAGATTGGGCTATACAGGGCAATTTGGGATGTTCCGTCCTGTACTAAGACACACGGGATTGCTTTAGGACAGTCTAATCTGTAGTCATGCCAAGTGCTGTATTGGGATGCCATTCTGTCTTTTGCTAGGTTCTATCAATTGATCTTAGTTTATTTGGGGGCTTGGTTTTTATTGGAACACTCAATACATGGGCAGACAGGGCTGTTGGGGGTCTATGTTAGTGCAGACAGCTGTATTGGGATATTCTAGTCTGTATTGGTACAGACAGCTGCTTGGGGTGGGGGGAGGGGGCGTTCTAGGCTGTGCTAGAATAGACTGGGCTATCCTGGGGGGAATTTGGGACATTCTGGGCTAGAGTGGAACTTTAAATAATGTGTAAGTCCATTTGTGTTTAGAGCCTTTGGGACTATGCTCTCTCTGTCCTCAATCTAAGCTCTTGAGTGAAGGTGGGATTAGGCTGGGATAGCCTGGATTCCAGGAAAGCTGAACAGACTGGGCTCTACCTAGGAAGATTGTTGGATGTTGGGAAGGTGGTACTGTCTTGGGAGTTACCTTGGATTTAAATCAAGGTTCTTCTGTTTGGTAGCAATGTAATCTTGTGCAGTTTATTTAACTTTTGTGCCTCGATTTCATCTGTAAGATGGAGTTAACCAGAGTAAAATGCCTAGTGCAAGTGCATGGTACACAGTACATTCTTGGTGAATGGTCGCTGTCAATATCAGTACTGAGTCTGACTAATTCTTAAACTAGGTTATGGTCATACAGGATAGAATCGTTTGGCAGGCTGGACTATGGTGCAACTGGGTTATGATGTGAAGAATACTACATTGTGCTAAGAAAGATCAGTGGTGACTGGACTATTTTGTCACGTTGATGGTAAAGGGGACTAAATTGACATAGATCCAGGCTCCTAGAATCATATTAGGTTAAAAGGTTAATCAAACAGGATGTCCTCATTTGGGGTGAGAGAGTCTATTCAGGGCAGTATCTCATAGTTGATGTGTGTATCCGTTTAGTCAGCAAATATCTGTTAATGCTTATGAAGTATCTGGTACTTTGCAGTGTGGCCAGGACACGGTGTTGAACAAAATAGGCATTAATGATTTCATGTGATGATTGAGAAGGAGCAAGTCCTGCACATCGAGGGAACCAATGGGAGAAATGACCCCCCTGGTGCTAGACTTTGTGGTCTGTCAGGAGGAGCAGATGGCTTAGCGCAGAGTTTTGTGCCAGCTGAGGCACACGACAGTGTGACTCTGGGCTCTTCCTCTCCTTGGGAGTTCTCAGGCTAGTGAGAAAATACCGTTCGTTGGTCATGGGTATTCTTCCTCAAGGGGAGACAGCACATTGGGACATCGCTCTGGAAGTGTGTTAGGAAAGTAAGGAAAGCAAGGAAAGCCTAACAGTAGAGACTTCGATGAGGACCCGAGCCTTTTTTGGGGGAAGGTGTGTGAGGAATAGGGTAGAAGCTGGGTGGAGGCTGCCAGCAAGGCTCTTAAAGTTAGATATTTTGGGCCAGCTGAGGCAACTTAGGGGTGGGTCTTTGAAATTGAACTGAGAGGTTTGAATCAGACTCTAGGAAATCTTCGGAGCAGCACTGAGCCCCCAAGGATGAGCTGGGGAGCAAAGGAGAAATAAGGAAAAGGAGTAGAGTTTGGAGATTTCTTAGGTGTAAGAGCAAAGCTTTTCAACGAAAGAGAAGAAGGCTTGGACAGGGTGGGAGGAAATCAACATCCGTGAGCTGGATGAAGATTGGGAGAAACTTTGAATGCGGGCGGGAATGGGGGAAGCCCGTCCAGTCTCCCTCACCTGTGTCTTGCCTCTCGGCAGGGTGGTGAAGGAAGAAATCTCGGATGACAACGCCCGCCTTCCCTGCTTCAACGGAAGGGTGGTGTCCTGGGTAAGGGGCCCTGGCTCTGAGGGCCAGTCCCTTCCGCATTGCCAGGCTCCTCTGAGCCTCGGCCTGTGCTGTCGCCTGCCCCACTCAGTTGCTGGAAGCTCTGGCTCTTTGCCGCCCTACCTGTTTGGAGAGCCGGCCAGCTGGAGCCCCTCAGCCTTCTCCTTCTGGAGCCCCTAATGCTGCTGCCTTTTTGTGCTTTTCTTTTGACTCTCTCAGGTCCTGTCCCCTTTTCTAGTCCTTTCTCTCACTCCTACCTCACGTGCCTCATTTCCCCATCCAGCCGAGTCTCTCTTATCACTTGCACTCTTCTAGCTAGTGTCATCAGATAACCCCCAGCCTGAGATGGCCCCCCCGGCCCATGAGCCTCGGACAGACCTGGCGCCTCCACCCCCACCGCTACCCCCTTTGCCACCGGAGAGGACCAGTGGCATTGGGGACTCCAGGCCGCCATCCTTCCAGTGAGTCCTTGGGATTCTTGAGTCCAGGGGAGTGAGGGGAGAAGGAATCCAAGCCCCTTGGGAGAGAAAGCCGAGGATGCGGAGCCCTGTCCCTCTGACTTGGGTTGGAAACCCTCTCTGTCCGTCTAGCCCTAATGTATCCAGCAGCCGGGAGAATCTGGAGCCCGAGACAGAAACCGAGTCAGTAGTGTCTCTGAGGCGGGAGCGGCCTCGCAGGCGAGACAGCAGTGAGCACGGCGGTGAGGGGGGCTGGCCTGGAAGCTGGGGAGACCGGGAGCTGGGGAGGGGTTGGCTCAGACCCAAGCATCGATGAGGGCCCGGCACTGGAGGCCTGGCTCCTGAGACTGGTTCCTCCTCAGCCGGGGGCCACCGGCCCAGCGGCCCCTCGAGGCTGGAGCGCCACCTGGCTGGGTACGAGAGCTCCTCCACCCTCATGACCAGTGAGCTGGAGAGCACCAGCCTGGGGGACTCGGACGAGGACGACACCATGAGCAGGTATGGCTCCCCAGGCCTCCCCGGGGCACCAGTCAGCCCTCCCACCCTTTCCCTTGGCCCCATGACTACCCCCGCCTGGCGTGCTCCCCTGTCCACCTCCTGACAGGTTCAGCAGCTCCACGGAGCAGAGCAGCGCCTCCCGCCTCCTCAAGCGCCATCGGCGGCGGAGGAAACAGCGGCCACCCCGCCTGGAGAGGGTGAGGGGCTTCTCATGGGGACAGCTGGCCCTCGGGGATGTTGGGGGCCTGGACCGTGGTTTAAATGGTGCAAGGCCCAGGCAGTGAGAACCCCTGGGCTCATCCTGTGTTGTTGAAGGCACTTGAGCTCCTTCCCTTTTCCCCACCACAGACTTCATCCTTCAGCAGTGTCACTGACTCCACCATGTCTCTCAACATCATCACGGTCACACTGAACATGGGTACGGAGGGGCCCAGGGCTGGGGGCTGGGAGGACCTGGTCTCCAGAGCTCCTAGAGGAGAGGCACACAGCCAGGGCCTCCCCTCGTCACCTGGCCTCCCTCCACAGAGAAGTACAACTTCCTGGGCATCTCCATCGTGGGCCAAAGCAATGAGCGGGGAGACGGTGGCATCTACATAGGCTCCATCATGAAGGGTGGGGCTGTGGCGGCCGATGGTCGCATCGAGCCGGGGGACATGCTTCTGCAGGTGAGCCGGGGCAGGGCCACCTGCTGATTCTGCCGGGCCGTCAGCCCCTCGCCCCCATCTATGACCCACCACCCCTTCCTGGCAGGTGAACGACATGAACTTTGAGAACATGAGCAACGACGACGCGGTGCGGGTGCTGAGGGACATCGTGCACAAGCCGGGGTGAGGCTCCAGGCTGCTCCCAGGTCCTCAGCTCTGTTCCTTCATCTTGTCTCCTTTTGTTTTGTCATTTTTGGAAGCAGTGAAACGTAATGCCCGTCAAAAGATATGTAAAGCAAAAATGCATAACATAATGAGTAGTTCTGGAATGAATGCCTCTATCCCCACTGCCTAGATCAGGACCTAGAAGATTGCTGACACCCAAAGGAGCCCCGCAGTGTCCCTTCCCAGTCCCCTCTCCTCCCTCCCCCAGAGGTCACTGCTATCCCGATTCTTTGGTCATCACCACGACAAAGAAAATCTTCGTGTTGGTTTCATCACCCATGCACATAACTGTGAACAACAGAGCTTAGTGTTACTCGTCTTTGGACTTTGTGTGAGCAGGGCCATGCGGCGTATACTCTCTTGTCTTACTCAGCAGTGTGTGTTTGAGTTACCCTGTCGGTGAGTCACCACGTTGTGGAGCCTTCCGCCCTCACCTTCTGTGGCCCAGGCGCATCTGTGCTCTTTCTTCTGTTCCTCTTTCTGTCCCTCTCCCACTCTCATTCCAGGCCTCCCTGCTCCTGAGGCCTCTCCTCTCACCCGTGCTTGACTGGCCGCCTCTTCTCCACAGCCCCATCGTGCTGACTGTGGCCAAGTGCTGGGATCCCTCTCCGCAGGCCTATTTCACTCTCCCGCGAAGTGAGTGGTGCTCAGGGCCTGCCGCTGGGATGATGATGGGTGTAGGGTGGCGCTGGGGCTGGGCATCTAGGCTCCAGTGAGAGGAGGGTCAAGGCAGGGGCAGGATGGGAGTCTGAATCTGGGAGGGACAGGGCTGGCTCTCTGGGACTGGGAAGTGATCATCTTGGTGGCCTTCTCTGTCCCAGATGAACCCATCCAGCCAATTGACCCTGCTGCCTGGGTCTCACACTCTGCTGCACTGACCGGCACCTTCCCCGCCTATCCAGGCTCCTCGTCCATGAGCACCATTACATCTGGGTCCTCTTTGCCTGATGGTGAGACCCCAAGTTCAACTCATCCACCCTCTCTGGAAGGCCTCCTAGTGTGGTGTGACCTTGCACTCCATGGGACTTGGCCCTACCTCTGATTCCCCATTTTTCCTCTGCCAGGCTGTGAGGGCCGGGGTCTCTCCATCCATACAGACATGGCATCTGTGACCAAGGCCATGGCAGCCCCAGAGTCTGGACTGGAAGTTCGAGACCGCATGTGGCTCAAGATCACCATCCCTAATGCATTTCTGGGTACTGCTGGGCCCTGGGCAGGTGGCGTGGGGAGCAGGAGGAGGCCAAAGTGTGGAGGGGTGGGTGGCCCAGGCATGGGTGAGACAGGAGCTGGGGAGGAGAACCTGAGGCCTTTCTCTGCCCTGGACAATCCAGGCTCAGACGTGGTCGACTGGCTCTACCATCACGTGGAGGGCTTTCCTGAGCGGCGGGAGGCCCGCAAGTATGCCAGTGGGCTGCTCAAGGCAGGGCTCATCCGGCACACGGTGAACAAGATCACCTTCTCTGAGCAGTGCTATTATGTCTTCGGAGACCTCAGTGGCGGCTGTGAGAGTTGTGAGTGCCTCTGTCCCAGCCCAGGGAGGGTGGCTCTAGCTGCCTTGTCCTGCCTCTCCAACCAGACCTGACGCAGAAACCAGCTGGGGTCCTCGTGGACGCTGAGCACTGTGCATCCTGTGCCGGGCCCTGCACTGGCCAACGATGCAAGTGGGGGCCAGCGTCCACTGAGGTTTTGCTGGACGAGCTGTGCGCCTGGCACAGGCGTGTATCTTCTGGGGGTTGGGGTGAGGGGGTGAAGCTTTTAATGAGGCTCATGAGTACGTGTGGGACTTGTGGTGGCCCTGGCTGAGTTTCTGCCCTGATGGCTGTGATGGGTGGGAAATTTCCTGTCTGAGGTCCTTGTTTAACCCCCATCAGGAATGGTTCTGGGGAATCGGTTTCCAGGTCTTTGCTTGATGTTTCAGGGTCTTGGCTTCTCTAAGCGGTGATTCTTTTCTCTTGCCTTCTAGATCTAGTCAACCTGTCTCTGAATGACAATGATGGCTCTAGTGGTGCTTCAGACCAGGACACCTTGGCTCCTCTGCCTGGGGCGACCCCCTGGCCCCTGCTGCCCACCTTCTCCTACCAGTACCCAGCTCCTCACCCATACAGTCCTCAGCCCCCGCCGTACCACGAGCTCTCGTCCTACACCTACGGAGGAGGCAGTGCCAGCAGCCAGCACAGTGAGGGTAAGTCACCGCCAGACACCCCTACAGCCAGGTTTGGGCAGGGTGGGGGCCAAGGTGAAACCAGGGAGGAGAGGCTGAAGCAGGGGCTGGGGCTGCTGAGCGAGCCTGGTCTAGGGCTCAGTTGCTCCCATCCCCTCTCCCCCAACAGGGAGCCGGAGCAGTGGGTCGACACGAAGCGATGGGGGGGCAGGGCGCACAGGGAGGCCCGAGGAGCGGGCCTCTGAGTCCAAGTCTGGCAGCGGCAGTGAGTCGGAGCCCTCCAGCCGGGGAGGCAGCCTTCGGCGGGGTGGGGAACCTGGTGGGACTGGTGATGGGGGTCCTCCCCCATCCAGAGGCTCATCAGGAGGTGCTCCCAATCTCCGAGCCCACCCAGGGCTCCATCCTTATGGACCCCCTCCTGGTATGGCCCTCCCCTATAACCCCATGATGGTGGTCATGATGCCCCCACCCCCACCCCCTATTCCGCCAGCAGTGCAGCCTCCAGGGGCCCCTCCAGTTAGGGACCTGGGCTCTGTGCCCCCAGAGTTGACAGCCAGCCGCCAAAGCTTCCACATGGCCATGGGCAACCCTAGTGAGTTCTTCGTGGATGTTATGTAGAGCCTGTGGTGGGGCCATGTTGGATCTCCACCCTTGGCCTGTCCAGCCAGTACTTGGTGCTCCTGTCCTGTGACTGGGTGTCTTGCCAGTCACATGCTCCTTACTCCCCTGGTGCCTGGACTCGGCCTGTCCTGCGGGCTGCGGCCTGCTGTGAGGTTGTTGCCACTGTGACTCTTACCAGCAGTGCCTGGTTCCTCCCCCTTCCTTCGGGGGGTGTGCAAAGGACCTTTGGTTATTTTTAGCCTTATTGTTTTTTGTAAGCCTTTTGGGGGGTTAAAATAGACTTTCTTACATTTTTTGGACTATTTTTTTTAGCAAACATTTTCTCTTTTATATGAAGAATCCCTGTCTCCTGGGCTCCTTCTGACCCCCAAATGTGACCCCCTACTCCATTTGCCCAGTCCACCATGTCCTGCGCAGGGTGGGGGGGTCAGCGGTACCCTGGGAAGTGGGAGGGTGCTGCTTACCCTAGACAGCAGTCAAAGGAAGCTGGGGTATTCGGGGGCCGTGTAGCTGCTTTTGTTACTCTATTTATTTTAGTCACATGTATAAAGCACCAAATAAAGCAATAGGGGTAAATTCCCTACGCCTTTGGCTCCTTTCTTTGGGAGGGAGGCAGGCAGCAAAGGAAAGGATGGAGCTACGATAAAAGAACATGACTTGTTAGAAACTTTATTTGTGAGGCAAGAAGTGCTCCCTCAGAGAGCAGGCACATTCCGGGCCCAGGCCCCCTTCAAGGCAGAACCGGGATGGGCAGGAAAGGGGCCAGGGCTTTGGCTTGACAGAAGGCATGTTCTGGGCCAGGCCCTGGTTGGGAGTATTCAGAATCCAAGAGGGTTGCTGGTGACCACGCCACCTCGCTCCACCAAGGCCTTGGAGATGCTTTTGAAGTTACGGAAGAGCTCCTGCTGCCGGGGGTCAGACTGCAGGGCAGCCATGCTCTCCCGTATCCGGGCTGCAGCCTGGGGAGGGGGAGGTGGGGGTCAAGCCTGTTCCTTGAGCTCTCCACTCCTGTACTTGGTAACCCCAGATCTCACCTCAATGCACCAGCTGTCACAGAGCATTTTCTCATGCTGGGCTGTGGGGTGGCCCTCACTGAGAGATCTGGAGGCCCTGGTGGGAAGCAGGAGAAAACAATCCAGGTTGTGACCCTGGCTCATGACCCCGCTGTGGCTCAGGCCTCCCACACTGCCTCCTCACCTGGACAGAACCACCACCATGGCATAGAGGTCAATGGCACTGTCTGCCAGACGCTGCAGCAGAAACTGCTCATCTGTCAGGTAGATGGGATGGGTGGGGCATTAGTCGGAGGGAGAGGAAAAGGAGTGGGTGGGCGGTGGTGGGTAGAGCTCACTCACTGACAATCTCCTTCTTGTGTTTTATCAGCTTCGTCTCCACCACGGTGGCAAACTGCTCCAGAGCCTGCACGGCCTGAAGAGACAGGGAAGGTACCCAGGGCTCAGAGTGGGGCCCAGCCTCGTCAGCCCTTGATGTACACCATCCCCCCACCTCGACTGCTTACCAGCTCGCCGCTCCGGCTCAGTTCCTGGTGGATGATGCCACTGAGACTCAGGCCACTGCCCAGCCCTGCCCGCCTTAGAGGAAGGGGGAGGGTGACTGGTTAGTTGTCATGCCCCGCCCTGCCCTGCCCCACCCAGCCCACCCCCTAAGCTTACCGCCTCAGCTGTTTGCCTGCCTCTCCTAGCAGGAGGCCAGCGTTCCCAAAAGGATTCTTCAGAGCATGGCCAAGCCCAGAGAGCTCCTTTCCTTTGTTCTTTGGCGGGGTGGAGGATCCAGTAGTCAGGACTTGCCATCCTCCCCTTCTCCTTCCCCCCAATTCTCCCTCTTACCATACAGCCCTGCAGGGCCACAAACAGCCGGAGAATGTCATTCGTCCCCTCAAAGATGCGGAAGATACGAAGATCTCGGAGCACGCGTTCTACCCCAGGCTCCTACCACAAGGGAAGATGGATCATAGCCCCCGCTGGGATGTGGCTGCCCACTCCTCCCAGCCCACGCCACCACCGTGGGCACAGAAGTGTCCGGTACCTTCATGAAGCCCATGCCCCCCATGATTTGGATGCACTCATCTGTCACCTTCCAGGCTGCCTCCTAGGGACAGAAACACCTGAGATTGGTTTTGGAGCCAAGCTTCCAAACCAGGCTCTCCCTCCCCGCAGGCTGGGGACCTCACCGAGCCAAAGATCTTGCTGATGGCGGCCTCTATCTGGAAGTCTATGGATCCCTGGTCCATGTTGGCACTCACCATGTACGCCATGGACTGAGGTCGGGACATGGGAAGGAAGATGGGAAAGGGATGCATCAGACTCGACCTGATCACCCAAATCTGCACCTTCCCTAGCCCTTGCCTTCACCTTCCAACTCCATGTGTCAGGCACATTGAAACATTTGGTCCCCTGAGTCAGTTCATCAGGGGTTTCCAGGCATCTGACTTCTTGAAACAGGTGAAGAGGTAAGGGTGGGGTAGGGTAGGGTAGGCTTCAGGTACCTCTGGAAGCACCTCAGCAGAACAGCACGGCTCTCCCCATTCTGCAGAAGAGGAGCTGACTATGCCTCCCCGCATCCCCTAGGGCATTGGTGTAAAGCTGGAGACCCACTGCCCCAGGTGCTGCTGGGGGTTGTAGTCTGACCCGACTGGGAAGAAGGCCTCGGGGCTCTGGGGAGGGTGGTGTAGCCCTCACCTCAGTCACATACTGCAGCACAGCCATCCGGGCCAGCTTCTCCTGGATCAGCCCAAAGTTGTGAATTTTCTCCCCAAACTGGGTACGATTAGTAGCATGATCCACCTGAAAGAGGGCAGTGTGTTCCAGTGTGGTTCTCAGTCTCCTCTTTCTGGGACGGGGCGGGTCTGGGCTGGGAGGCATGGGCTTTGGCCATAGCCAAGAGTTCAGTTCAGGGTGGATGGAGTCTGGAGCTACTGGCAGAGAGGGGTCTCTGGTGGAGGGAGGGCCTGCGGACCAGGAACACATGAAAGGGGGACAGTGTGACCCAGACAGATTCAGGCTAGTGGGGAACTCAGGCAGGGCACTCACCGCCTTAGCGATGATTCCTTTCATGGTGCCCGCGAGGGCCGCGGCCATGCCAAACCGTCCGTTGTTGAGAATGTGCATGGCGACCTTGAAGCCGCCCCCCACCTCGCCTAGCACATTCTCTGACGGCACCCGCACGCCATCAAAGTACACCTCTGCCGTGTTCGAGGCCTTGATACCCATCTTCTTCTCAGGGGGCCCACTGTGATAGGCAGGGTAGAGAAGCAGAGATGTTCGCTCGACAAGTTGCCATTAAGGAGAGGGAGGCCTGGATCTAACCTGCTGCCGTGTGTTGGGCTCAGTGGTTGCTGGAGCCAAACTTTAGATCAGTTCCATACATATTAGGCCCAAAGGAAACACGCAGTCCAGGTGCCTCAGGTTTTGCACAGGTCCCCAGAGTGACCTGTGATAGCCTTGTGCCCTGGAGCTCAGTCTTGCCCCACCCCGGCTCCACCCTTTCCTCCCCAGCCCACTCACTGGGTAACACCTCCAAAGCTCCTCTCCACCACAAAAGCTGTGATCTTCTCCTTCACAGCCCCCGTGGCTGCATCTGTAACTGGTGTCTTGGCAAAGACTGTGAAGATATCTGCCAGGCCCCCATTACTATGGGAAAACAAGAGGCAGTCAGGGCATGGAGGAGGGAGTGGTGGGGCTTGGAACTGGCCAGAGGTGGGGAGGAGGGAGAAATGGGAAGATTGCCTGATCCAAAGCTTGCTTCCGTTGAGGGTATAGTATTTTCCACAGGGACTGGGCACAGCCGAGGTTCGGATGGAGGCTGCATCTGACCCACTTGAGGGCTCAGTTAGACAGAAAGCAGCAATAGTCTCCCCTATTGGAGAGAGAGAGCTCCTTTACACTGGGCTCTGATAGGTGTGAAAGGTCCTTCAGCCCCGCCCCCCTGGCCCACAGGCATTCCCCCTAACGCCTCTGTGATGCCTTCCCAGAATCAGCCCCAGCCGACATGCCCAGCTACGTGGTGATCTAAGTACTACCATCCTAATTTGTGTCAAGCCCAGGACACTCCCAACCCCTGATCTCCTAGGGCTGCCTCACCAGTTGCCAGTTTGGGGAGGTATTTTTCTTTCTGGGTCTTCGTGCCAAAGAGCAGGATGCCTTTGAAACCGATGCTCTGATGGGCCCCCAGGACGATGCCCACGCCAAGGTCATGCATGCCCACGATCTCCACCAAGCGGGCGTACTGGAGGGGAAACAGGCATCTGGGGCTCTAACTGGCTACACGGAGACCTCCCCTCAGCCTGACCTGAGCATCCCCACAAAGTGTGTGGACAGAGAAAGTGGGACCACGGCAGGTCTGTTTCAGGTCTTGGTGGGCGGGAGGCTTCCTACCCTGTCATCAGGCAACCCCTACCTTAGAGACTGATTAGGACTTGGGAATCTGGGTGAGGGCCATGGCCCTCGGGGAAGGCAGGCAGTTTGGTGTTAAGAAGACCCATGGGCTCCCAGGGTAGATCTTGACAGAGATCTTGGCCCCAGGAGTGAGGAAGGAGCAGATCAGGACACTGGAGGTGAGTGAAAGGCTCCCTCACCTGGGTGTTGCAGAGGCCCATGCCACCCAGTTCACTGGGCACTTGCAGACCAAAGGCCCCCAGCTCCTTGAGGCCCTGCATGGTGGTCTCCTCCACTCCTTCCAGCATGTCATTCTTGGCAGGATTGTTCACCTCCTGGGGAAAGCACAGGATCCCACATCCAGGCTCCTTTTAATCTCCTTAACCTCTCTCTCCCACCCCATCAGGGATCTCAGCTTGGTAGTGCACACCTCAAAGAAACGGGACACAGGCCCCACCAACTCTTTGAGAAACTGTGTCTGGTCCTCGTTGAGCACTGCGGGGGTCGGGTGGCAAGAGAGACGGATAGGTCAGGTGAGGCGGTCAGGGGACACCGCCCCAGTCCACATCCAGCTCTGACTACCTGTGTACTTACCAGACGGGTATGGGAACACCTCATCGGTGGTGAGCTGGCCTTTGAACATCCCCACAGCAAAAGACTTAGATTCCTGCTCAGGGAGAAGGGGGTTTCAGGGAACTGTCTAGGGTGGGTCCACCCCTGACTTGGATCTTCCCGGGCTTGAGGCCACATACCGCCTTGGCCCGCTTTTCTCTGCTCGAAGTCTCAGAAGAGGGGGAGTCAGAATTGTCCAGAACCGCCTGGGGAAAGGGATGATTAGCGAGGCCGGGGGAGGAATGCCGAAATATCAAGGAAAGCAAAGGGGACGAGCGGGTGCCAGAGAAGAGCAGATCCGCCACCTTTACCCTAGTTTCATCCTTAGGGCATCCTGGTCTGCCCTTTCCCCTACTTTCGGCGCCAGGGCAGTCAGCAGGTGACTGGGACCAAGAGGGAGACCCCTGCCGGCGACGGGGAGGTGGGACCCGAGGTGGACTCCCGCTCTCACCCGCCCCAGGCCGCTGTCACTTACCTGGGCGGCCCCACTGGCATAGGGTCGCCAGGCAGGGCTGGGCCGGAGATGCCCCAGGAACGCACTGGGCCGCGAGCTGTAGGGATTGGGGGGGTTCA